TGACTCCCTCCTTCCAGAGAAACGTCTGAGGGAAGTCAATCCTGTCTCCTCCAGTGCTTCATGGCAGCTTGTGTCTTCCACCTCCTCAGTAAACCTTCCTCAGACCCACAGGATCAAATACATTTAAAAACCAAGTGTCACATTTCATTTCTTAGATTACACAGCATTCAATCAGCATCATTCATCATTAATAACTTTTAAAAGAGGGAGGACGAGGAGGACTTCTTACTTCTTGATTATTATGATGACTGTTTTTCCTTCTCATTAGTGTTTGGTTCTGATCAGTGTCGTAAATACTGTTGATGTGTTCAAGAACACGCAGCATCTATTGTTCTTCCCCACGTGTGACTCGCTCTTGTGCTTCGAATGCGACTTGTACTGTGAAATAATAACATTTAACATCAGGGACACAATAAATCTGGACTGTCGCTCAGTAAAGCCCATGTCTCCAAAAGAAGAGAAGATCAGATTGTATTGCTCCATACACATCAAATATATAAAGAAGACAATAGAATTAAAACATGGAATAAAAAATGCTGAGTATGTACATTATATACACCTTTCAGTGTAGTGGTTTGTACGGGAATGTTATAAAGTAAAGTGAAACACGAGCGAGTAGAAGAAACGTCCCATAAATGACTGACCGTCACATGATTGCTGTTCAGGGATCGTGGGTTCAGTGGAGCGTGACTCTGTGTCAGCCTGGTTTCTGAGCTGAAGAGAAGCCTGGGTGGTTTTTATTTTCCTCTGTTAACGTGGAGCGATTTGCAGCTCAGACCCTTCGTTCGTCTCATATATTTTGAGAACTTATTTCCAGGTGAATTTCATCTCGACTGTGCCACTTCCTTTACTCCTAACTGTTCTCGAAGCTTCTTTTAATTCACGTGTGTTGGAATTATACCAGGAAGCTAATTTACTGTGTTTTCAAGTTTCTTTTTTAGAGGCCGTAGGGAGTAACAACTTATCACAGCAAGAAGAGTAGTTGATGCTGTTTCACTCTCAGTTTATTTGATCTTCAGGTTTCTGGGAGGAACATCTCTTCCAAAGGTGGTTCCTGTGATTTTAGTTCTTCTCCCACTGATGTTTGTTCAGTGGGAGAAAAGATGCCGTGAGAAAACTATTTATTTCAGCAGAGGTGCTGAAGCTGCACCTCAATTATCAATCATACTTTATTTATATCATATTCACAAATTACAATTTGTCTCATAGATGTGAACGTGTCACATCCTCTGTTCTTAAGATTAACACGAGTAAAACTACCGATAAAAACCTCGTTAACAGGAAGTAAACTTCTAAAGTGTAGTGAAGCTAATGCAGGAGACATGTGGTCTCTTCTCCTGGTTCTTGTCAGGACACGTGCTGCGGCATTTTGGACAAACTGTTTTACATGAGAATTAAATCCCTGACGGTTTGACTGGAAGCAAGTGAAATCCATCCAGAGAAGCTTCATCATTTGATAATGGGTTTCTAAGGTGAATTTCTTTCAGAAACGAAATGGGATCTCAGAAGTTGTTCAATCTTTAGATTTCTGGTGGAGCATCTCTTCCAAAGGTGGTTCCTGTTCTTTAAGTTCTTCTCCCACTGACGTGTGTTCAGAAGGTTTGAATGACTGAACCACTGTTTGAACAGTCAACAGATTAATTATCAATCCAAACACTATAATTTACAATGACAGAGAGTAACCTGATCCTGATGGAGTCAGCTGATGTTTGACTCTCATCACATGAACATGTCTCCTCACATCTTCTGCCATCACTCACAGTAACTCCTCAGTTCATGCTCCTTCATCTCTATCAGACATTTTCTTTGGTATAAATACTTTAAACACGATGTCACAAACTGTGTCTTCTAATCAATGCAGTAAATACTGATATTTGAAAGGTTCTTTATCGTCTGTTGTGAGATCATTTTGTTGTGCTGGTGGAAACAAACAATCTTCAGATGCTCTGTGACGGTGAACTCTATGATTTGGTTTGTACGCTCATAAGAAAGACTTTGGCAGGAGGCTGCTCGACCGGCACAGAGGCAACTTTACATAAAGAATAACGTGAATGCGAGCAAATATATTATATATATACTAATATCATGAGCTTCAATAAGAAATCAGAAGCTCATGGGTCAAAACTTTGGGTATTTGACATACACATAACGTATTCTGGTCATATGTGTGTATGACATCCTCTTCCACGTTGTTCCTAAAGATCATGTTGGACCAAAATACACATTATTAACTGGTGCCGATATCACTAATAGTATAATTACATCTATCAAGTTTTAATGTTCTTTCTCTGATAGTAACGACCTGGTCGCTCCGTCCTCAGGGCTGATTCATGTGGAGGCAGCAGGTCCACAGTCTACAGCTCTGCCTGTTATGTATGAAAGCTGAATAACAAATAAAAAGTGTTTCTTTAATAACAGCAAAAATACAACATAACAAAAGGTACAAAACAGGAGGGGCCAAAAAACTAAGCACAAAAACACTAGAAGGCACAAAACGTGAGCGAAAACAACCAGAGACAAGAAAGAACATAACGACCTGACAAAGACAAAGAGAAGGACAGAGACTTGTCCACACAAGAGACGGTTGAACTCAGCGGAAACAGGACACACACGAGGAACTTCATTTCAAAATAAAACAGGGAACAGAACAACCAAGAACAAATCTAAACACGAGAGAAACCAAGATGAATGTCCAGAAACTAGAACCAAAACTGTCTTCAAGAGTTCTGGGTCAGACTCTGGTTTCTTTATTATTATGATTATTATCATGTCCACCATCATTATTATTATTGTAGGACAATGGTGAAACACACGAATCTTCTCCTCAGTGAGGATTGATTCTGTGCCGTCTGTTCCACGTAACTCCAGAAGTCAGCCAACAGGGCCCACATGTAAATGATGAGCTTCTCACACAGCACCAGAACAAAATAACTTTACCTGTGAAAGTTTATTGTAGTGTTTGGTACCATAAAGTTTCACCAGCGTCCTTCAGATGAACACGAGAATAAAGTGACAGGTCTGTGCACGCACATCGGTTTTTTTTTCTCACAAAATAAAACTCAACCCAAAGCCATGACATGTATGTATGAAGAGTTTAACATGACACTGACGTGTTCAGCATCTTTCACATTGTTAAGGGACACGCGTGAACTGGCTGAAATCACCAGAATCACAGACAAGTGTTACTGAGCCTGTCGTCTCTGCCAACAGTTAAGTTCTGTATTTTACTATGATACAGCTGTTTACACGCGGAGGAGGCCAGATGTTGATCGAGAAATCTGTGACAATCCCCGTGTTTGGCTGCTTTTTTACAGCTCTAACGTGGCACACGCATGACCAGAGTACATGAGTGGTCACGTGATCAGTGTCTTCAAGTGTGTGGACGCTGATCAAATCTGATGAGAAGAGAGACGGAGATGGTTTGAGTCGTGTGGATGTAAAACAGTAAAAACACCAATTAGAATGATTTCCTTTAAATCCTTCGAGGCCACTTGACGGCTCCAGTATGATGCAGCAAACACGTCTTGTCTCATTGTCTCGTGTGGCCGAGCAGACGCCTGCACTTTAGTTTGGAGTCTTGTTTCTGTCCACTTGTTAATTTAAGTTTAACTTTCACTCTCGTCTCAGCTCAGATTTCTTCTCCTTTTACTCCTGAGAAACAAACCAGCCGGTAACTGACTCTGATGTCGGCCGGTCGAGTGGAGCAGGTGACGACGCTGACGAGGGCGAGGCCGAACCACGGCGCTGAGGCTGATGTCAGGAAACAAMCGAAACCAATTCATAACGATCACATTCAAAATGGAGTGTATAAGTGTTGTTCACAAACACAAAGATTTCATCGACAGCTTCAGTAGATACAGACGAGTGATCACCAGAGGAGCAGAGTTATGGTTTGAACATTAAAACATTTCTGACATGTGATATTTAAAAGAAGAGAAAGCTCCCAGAGAATCTAAACACCAACTAATAACAGGAGTTCATCTTTGAGTCGAAGATGTAAATGATTGAACATTTCACTCGACTCGAACTCTACTCAGGACACCAGATATTTACTGTCATCAGTGCGATTAGTTATTAACCCATCAATCATTAAAATAAGAACAAAAGAGAATAAAGAGATAAAGACATCCAGGAAGCAAAGTCCCAGTTGATCAGCTGAAGGAAACGTTGATGACGTTAAACTGAACACAGACTCTGATCGTGTTTTCATGTTAAACCAGAGAAACGTCCTGACGCCACGAGTGACACTTCGATCTGATCCGTCTCATTCGTTTGTGGAAACTTCTTCATTCTCGAGTTTCAGCTGGAGACTCACTTGTGAAAATAAGAGTTTGTTTTTCTCTGCGCAGCTTTAAACTCAAAGATTTTTCCTTTAAGTCATCGGGTTGATTAAAGTGAGTTCGAGGTTAGAGTGACTGAGAATATGGAGAATGTTTCCTCTGTCATGCAGGTTGTATGTGAGAACACCAACGTCCGAGTGAGCGGTGCGTGTGAACGGTCATGTGACGTGTGTTGTCGGGAGGATGGAGATTATTCCAGATATGGAGCTGAAACACTTTTTGGGGCGGAGATGGTTTTAGTTTTAAAACATATCAGTGACCTAAGAAGTTAAACGGCTACAAACCTGATCTTCACTTCAGACGATGCTGAGTTTTATAAACAGCTCAGAGAAAAACCCAACGTCAGCCGTCTTCTGAGGTTTTCAGTTCTAGACCCACTTTTGCAGGATCAAGTATTTTCTACCCCTTGAATCAGCGTCTCTGTTTTTCTTTTTTTATAAAATCTATCGTCACATGATGCAGTCTGTCGACCTCAGTCCTGTGTCCTCTCATTTTTCAGCTGTCGCTCGGACGCTCTGTTTTCGCTGGTAACCAGCTGAACTGGTACGGTTCCTGTGGCACCAGCAGATTTATGTCGAGTCGCTTTTGTTCTTTCTCACTGTCAACTGTTCGATACCCGAGCAACGTCATGGCACCTTTACACACTTCCTGCACACGTTTGACCTTGCTGTGAGGCAGCAGCGTTCGCCAAGCCTGGGAGATGTCGGCTGCGTTTCGTGACGTGATTTTGAAGGCATCTTTCTTGGAGCCTTTTCCTTTTCCGTGGGTCACTCTGTAGATCCAGTCCTCGAGCTGCCTGGTCATGTCCAGACCTATGAAGTCGTACAAGGCACTTATTTCCTCCAGTGGGTTGCGTGCCACGTCCTCGTATCGCACCATTTTGTAGCGGCCTTTCAGAAATGGAGGGGGCTTCAGGGTGGCCCTCTCGTTGATGCGCACATGGCTGCGGCAGATCTCCTGTATGACTTGATACTGCACCTCAGCTGCTGGTATGTTTCTTTGCTCCAAAACGATGGCGTTATCGCTCATGAAGGCCTTGGACGAGGCCTCTCTGGACCGCACCACAGCCCGTGGGTCCCGGACCAGGTGGATGATGCGGAGATCTAAGTTTGGGTCCTGCAGAAGTGGGTAGAGGGATTCCAGCTCAAAAAAACGCACTTCTTTTAACACCACGTGGCTGTAAGTGCCACAGGCGTCCTCCGCCCCCTGCAGGCCCCTGGCTCCACAGGTCTGCGAACACTGGGTCTGGTTGCTGAACTCATTGCGCGGCGTGAGAGGACAGGCCGGTGGCGAGCACAGCGCTCGACTGTGACTCCACATGAACAAGGAGGAGATATTGCACTGCTCCGGAAGGTACGCCTCCATCACTGAGAAGTCGCACTGAAACACACTCCGGAACAGATCCCTCACCGCCATCCGGAGCGACCGCGCCCCCGATTTCTGCAGTTTGGACCACACATGCCAAGACGGCTCCATGAGGTAGAAGACAGACGGGTGCTGACTGAACACCTGACCGAGGAAGGAGGAGCCTGATCGCCAGGACGACAGCAGCAGAACGTGAACTTTGGTGTTGGGGTTGGTGGCGTCGCACTGACTGAGCTGGACGTACCAGCCACAGAACAGCACCACTGCTGCCCCCTGCAGGATCACCAGGAAAATCATGGTGCTTAGGCTGACTTTGCAGCGGGGCATGATGGCTGCGGGTCGGTGTGACTATCAGGTGCTTTCTGTCTCGTGTTGCCTTGTCTGCTGAGGACAAGAGACAGAGACAGGGGGGGGAGACAGAGGGGGAGAGAGAGAGATAAATGGATATGTTAATCAGGAAATCTTTGATGAACTTACAGACAAACATTTGACATCATCTCGTCAGTTTCTCTGCTGCCACGTTTAAACGGTTATATCGAGTCAAGGCACATGAAGACTCTCAGGTTACTGCAGAGCGACACCTCTTAAAGCTGCATAGAGTGACATCTCGCATTACTTGTGGTAGGTAGACCTTGTGCCCTATAAACATTCACAATCACATCCACGATCCAATTAGAGAATCTTTGTTTCGATAGAAATTCACTTTTCTTACAACCCCCACAAGAAACAAGGAGTTTGTCAGACTTCCGTACATTCGCGGTAAGACCCCCCAGAGCAAATATCCCCTTTCCAGCCAAGGCTTCAAGGTCTGGCAACAGTGGCCGGATACTCTGACGTTCCTGCCCCTGTGCATTCTGGGATCCGAGACGAGTCGACCACATTGACCCAGACTTGAAGTGGACACAAAGTAAGAAGCCACAAAGGGACGACCCCTGACGCTAAGTGGAATCCACTGAGCCGTGTTAGCCCCTCTGAGGGTTCGATGGCATCTTATTCCCAAGAGGGCTGTCACTACCTGGCTGACTGCCTGAGATTTTGCGGGATCTCGGACCACAGACATTCTGACGGCGTCAAGTTTTAAGCCTAAAAGTCTGCAACTGGAAGTAGCGATGCTAGCAGATGTAGCGATGCTAACACGGTGTGTGTGTGTGCAAACGTGGCTCCAGAGGAGAGTCACACTTGGATGACACCAAACCAGCAGGAAGCATGTCGTGTCTTTAACCGGACATTTTCCAGAGTTCATATAAGTTGTCTGTATTTTTACGGCTCAGTGCTTCACGGTACAGTTTTGCCGTTCACCCTCAAAGTGTATCTGTGTGCAGCACTTTCTCCAACACACAACACTTACACACCGCCGGCTCAGCCATCCGGGCTTCAACCACCGAGCCTCTGGTTAGTGGACAACCCGCTCTACCTCCTGACTCTCTGAAAACAGCTTTACACGCCAACTCAGTCTTCTATCCCGGACTGTGAATGAATAAATTATCTAAACAATGAGGGGAATAAAAGAAAAGGACACACACACACACACACACACACACACTCACACACACACACACAGAGTGTTGCTAAGGCCTCTCTGTCAGAGTTTCCAGTGAGACACCATGATCACTGCAGACGGGAAGAGATCAACTCACGCGAACCACAGTGAACAAGTCCTGACACGAGCTCGCCACCTTCAGACCCTCGAGATACAAACACCAGACAGACTTCAGGACAGATCCGTCCCCCTCTCTCCGTCCCTGACCTC